CGTAACTATGAAAAGCATGATACTCCTGCCAAGAATTTACTTAACACGATCGTGACTAGCGACCTCCACTACTTGAAATATAAGTTCATAACGATTAGGTGAAAATCCCTTATATTTTAGCATCAAATTCATGCATGCAAACTAAGTGTGCACCCTCAATCAACATACAAGAATAAGTTATCAATCAAGCAGTTAAGCAAATTACATTCATGTTTTACGAAACAATAATTGGATGAAATCAATTCATATCACATATATGTTCATGGCTTTGAATTCTTCTCTAGCTAAAATGAGTTTAGTTCCTCATGTTCGCACTTAAACAAAGATAACTTAAATTAAACATTGAAAATGAAAGATAGAATACACCTAAGAACGTTCCAACAATCCAAAGCTTGAATGGCAGGCACAGCTCCAAGGGTCTTCTCTCCTTTTTCCTTGAAAAGTTGCAGCACAAGGTGTGTGTGTGTGTATGATGGGATGTATGGTGTGGAATTGTGTGTGTAATGGATGGATGATTGAATGGTTGTATGGTTATGTCCCTTATGTGCTGCAGAAAACTAATAATAAGGAAAGAAGGCAAGGCATTAATTAAATAATTTTAGGAAAGATTTGCTCTCCAAATCCTCAAGGAAAAAGGGTAATTAAATGTCAAAATCCAAGAGGAAAAGGGAAGGAAATATGCGGCAAGACCTAGAGAGAAAGGGAAAGTGATTTGCGGCAAGGGAAAGGGTGTTCTAGAAGGGAAAAGGTGCGGCTCCCTTTAGGAATGGGATTAGGACTTCTAGAAACATATATTTAGGTGTCCTAAATTAATTAGGGACCCCCTAATAGCTGGAACTTAGGTAGAGAAGGATTAGGATTAACTAAGACAAAATAAGGTAGTTTGGCTCTTATTTCCTTCTTTCATGCTGGGCTCCATATATTCTTTGTCTTAAATTAATTCTTCCATCTCTTTAGTATATTCTTAGCCTTTCTTGAACTTCAAATCCGTCTATCCGCCTTACTCCATGTATGTGTTATCCATTCCAAGCCCAAAACTGCTCCAAAATTCACTTTCTTACCACTTTAGCCAATTGGACCTACAAACACACGAAAATAACTTAAATCACTATAATAAATAGAAACTAAGTAAATGTGAGCAATTAAGCTAACGAAGTCGCATAAATATACTCTTATTAGTAGGGGTGGGTCCCACTATTTTAACAAAAATATTTAAATGATTTATTTTTTTTAATATTTAATTAATTTTTAATCTAGTTGGCCCAGGGAGCGGGCCCTGCCTCAAGCCACGTCAGCATTTAACGGAGGACTTGACAGAAACCTGATAGAGGTATGACATGGCAACAAATTCGTAAGGTAAGGTATGACATTGAAATGTTATAAAGATAAGGTATGAAACTATGGTTGATCCAATAGTTGAGGTAATTTTGTGTAATTTACTCTTAATTGTAAATGCCCACCACAGCCAACAGTTTCTTCCCTTGAGGTAATGGTACTATCTCCCAGGTTTTATTTTTTTTATAACACGAACATTTCTTCATCTATAGATTGTATCCACTTAGGGCATCATAAAGCTTCTTCCACCTAAGTTGGAATATTAATGGCCTCCATATGATTTACCAGTGCTTTCTGTTCAGGTAGAATGCGCTCATAAGATACATTATTGGCCATTGGATACCTCACATTTCCTTCTGGAGAGAACCTATCAGGTGGAACACCTCGATTCTGTCTCAAAGGTAACTTATATGTACTCACAACAATATTAGGATTAGTTGAGTTATTAAAATATCAAAAAGTGAGGGGCTACTATAGAAGATGAAGCGGGGCTTGCCTCTACTGCAGCCTAGTTGTTTTTTGCTAAAAAAGCTAGGCTATTCAATATAGTCCTATTGGACTGGGCTAGGTTGTTTGGTACAATCCTGCTGAAATGTGTTAGTACTTTCAGTAGAAACTTGCCGAGCTGGGTTAGTACTCTTAGTACAATCATGTCGAACTAGAATGGTATTTTAGGTAGTCCTGTCGAACTGGGTTGTGATGTTTGTTAAGTTGTTGGACTATTACATCCTCCCTTTCTCTCCTAAAGTACAATCTAACCAACGTAGATCATTCAAATCATCAATCCATAAGTACTATTAATAGGGAAGGCCCTCACACATCAATGTATAATAGCGCAAACAGAAATACCCTTTTATTCATACTTGAAGAAAATAAGCACAATGACTCTAAATTAAAATACATACTTCACAATTTTAATTCGGAGTCTTTCATACCACTAAATAAACTAGGCAACATATGCTTCAAATAGCCAAAAGATACATGCTGCAAACGACCATGCATTAACCATAAATTTTGTAGATTACTATCACGCAACGCATGAATCAAATTAGCTCTTTTAGGAACCACGTAATCCACATAATATAGCCCCTCTCATAGTGTCACACCTAATGATCTCCTTGTCTGAATAGCATGAAGCAAGTAAAATAAAAGATAAATCAATACAACATAATTCAATTGTTTTGTGGCTTTTGTTATAGACAATAAGTAATGGGACAATGATGGAACTAATAAACAATGGCGTAAGAAAAGAGATGGTGTAAGACATATTGTTCCCGCTCCAACAAAAGGAGTTGTAATACCATTGGCAGTTGCCACACACTTTTTATAAGGATGTGTCATAGATAGTAAAAGTTTTTTTTCATAGGTCATATAATACGTTGCACCTAGAATCCAAAATCCAATCTATATTCGCCATTGTAATAACACACAAAATAGTAGGGTATGGCAACAGCAAAGGTTACAATGCTAGGCAAGAGATACAACCGCATCACAAATGATTTTTATAGAACTACGCTCTTGATGCCAAATAGATATGTATATGGCTGAATGTTTGAATCAATACTATTAAATCCTCTATGGTTTACAATGTATAGCACACATGCCTTATTCCATAAGTAAACTAATGACAAACGATTACAATCAATTACAAATACTAGTCCTACCAAATATAAGACTCTTAGAATATTTACAATAAAGACTCATGTCAACAAGTTATAGCCATTGGCAAGCACCTGATTGTCGCAGATGCTTTGCTTACCCACGAGATCATAGGTTATGTGTACCATTAGAACTTTGGCCGAGCGGCTAAACTTCAATGGAAGACAATGACGGAGAAACCTACTTAAAGCAAGGCAAGTTGAGAAACTGCTTGCCTGTGTGCGATGTCAGCCCACGGTACCTGAGCAAGGCGTCTATCGAGATGTAGGTTGCTTTGAGACTTCTATTGTCTGAATTGAGTGAGGAGTTGTGGAAAGAAAAGATGGTCAAGTTCAACAAAAAAGTTGATACAAGTAATTGACTTTGAGGGGTGTTTGATTTGGTGCTCTTGATACGATGAACGCGAACTTGAAGCCAGAGCAGATGATAGACAAGGTACTTATGTTGATCATGTGGCCCAAGGCAATTGGGAGGCTAATTATAAGGCAATGCATAGCAAGTATAGGGAGAAAGGTTACGAGGATGCGGTGCCGCATAGGGTTTATATCACAAATAGTCCCTGAAATTGACCCACACTATCACAGTGGTCCCTCAAATTGAAAATCAATCAATATATTCCTTGAAAATAGGTGTCACAAATCAATGTGGTCATTCTGTCACAATCATGTCAAAAATTCTGTTTTGTGTTGGTGTGGCACATAAATGGATCGCACATAAGTGGGTCCCACAAGTCATTTTTGTATTAGAAATGGTCCTAAAATTGACCCACGCTATTAAGATGGTCCATGAAATTGAAATCGATCAATGTAGTCCTAAAATAAATGTTTCAAATCAATGAGGTCTTTCCATCGTAATTCTATAATAAATAAAAAATTGTTATGTTTTGTTGTAACACATAAATGGACCCACAAGTCAAACTAAATAACAAAAGAATTGGAAATAGGTATAATAAATTTAATAATTAATTAAAAAAGTTGTCAACCTAGAAACTCGGTCCCACAAACACCTATGATCCCAACCCATACTCCTCTACCTCCCTCTATGGTAGCCTTTGTCGTCTTGTCTATGAAAAAGAAAATTCTTAATACTCCCATCTTTACACCCTTCGCACCCTCCATCGAATTAGACCAGGATCAAGACCATCTTTGGCGATGGCTTGGATTGGTGGCGACTTTTGTGACTCCACCGTGAACATTTGGGTGAGACAACGTCACAACCTTATCTTGGAGAGGTTGTTGGGCGCTCTCCCAGTGATCTTAGTGACATGGAGAACGGCAAGCTCTGCCTTGAGATAATCTCATTGTGCAAAAAGGTGTTTTGACAACTTTTTTAATTAATTATTAAACCCACATCAGCACATAATAGGATTTTTTACAAAATGACCACATTGATTTGTGACACTTATTTTCAGGGACTAGTTGATTGATTTTCAATTTTAGGAACCATGTTGAACATGTGGGTTAACTTCAGGGACGATTTGTGATAAAAACTCTTACATCTTATGCGCCCTATTTATGTGTCACATCAACATATAACAGAAATTTTGACACAATTGTAACAGAATGATCACATTGATTTGAACTGTCAGATTACGGGGACTATATTGATCGATTTTCAATTTCAGGAACTATCTTTGATAGTTTAGGTCAATTTCAAAAACCATTTGTGATATAAACTCTGCCGCGTATGGTGTGTTTTGAACTGTCAGATTACAATCCGGCGAAGCCGGTGATGCCTCTAACACGGCCAGGGGTGTCAATATCGAGTGGCTTCTCCAACAGTTTGGCTAAGTTGTTGGACAAGGAAGGAGAAATCAGCCCAAACCATGTCCTGGAACAAGCCAGCAGCTATCTCTGGCAAAGAGTATCAAACGCTTGGCCGTGGTAGATTGATTGATATACGAGCGCAATGATGTTACATTATTTGATATTTTTCGCTTGTTTTGTTTTGTTTATGTTGTGTTTTAATGAATTAGACAGTTTATTATTGTCTGGTTTCAATTCATCTGTCCTAGAAGTAGTGCTTGTAACTTGGATTCAACTCAGCATGCAAATTATCATACACATTCACAAAACCAACATGGAGCCGGCGGCAGAAACCCGAAATGGATCCTTCAAGAATATCTAGAGCGCCCCTACCGGTATCAAATGGTAGCGTTTTTCACATTGAATGTTGAGAAAGGGTCAGATGAAAAGAATATGGATACAACCAGCACGCATCTATGAATACAGCTTGAACTGGTAACGGTCTGAATGTCATTCCCAGCCTTTCCTGTGGATTCTACTTTCATATCTGCAGATCATCCAAAGAGAGCTCATGTGCCGTCATCCTCTTTAGTTTCTGCAACATTTTCGAAAGAAAAAAAAAGTTTGTTAGGGGAGAAAGAAGGAGAGTTCGTCTCAGATTCAAGCATGTTACGGATTAAAACTAAAATGGATTACCGCAATAAAAGAAGCAGGATCCTCGAGACATGAGGAGCCTAGAACAACTTCCCTCTTCAGTTTAGATGTGAGCTTGTGGCAAACCCTAAGCTGAAATGAAACAACTTATAAGCTCACTAAGCTAGAAAAGGAGAGAACCGCAACTTCATTTAGGGACAAGTGGAACATGTTCATACCTCGGACCTAGTAGCCCCACCTACTATAACTACAAATATGCGCTGGCCCATCTTTTTGAAATCACTCGATGCATGCCGTAATACTGGATCACTATGGATGCAGAAGGAGAGAATAGTTAAAATAAATCATTCAAGCGGCACTCAGAGTAGCTACTTATGGAAGATTTCCATAATGCAACAGTCCAAAAGGTAGCTCTAATTATAAGGGACGCTTTAATTATGAGGAACTCTTGGCCATGAAGTAGAGTGACAAGATACCTTGAATACCCATCATCAGAATTTCGAGGCCGGGCCCATGTTGGTGTCCGTCTTGATCTCATTGAATGAGCAACTGGAGGATGATTTATTGCCGAGACATGTGACCTCCCGTGAAAAGTTGGACTTGGGTCATTCAAACATGGATAATCTTCCTTTGACAGTTCACCTTTACTAAGGTTTTCTACAAGTTCCTGAACAAAGAGATGATTGGTAATTGATTACTCGTACAATCATTGAAACTAAGTTTCATGATATGTTATGAAGACTAAGACGGAGCCCTTAATTGCTCTTTCTATAGCAGTCGCTAGGTAGCATGCTGTGCATATTCAATGGGACGAGTATTTACATACAACATATCTATATGCAAGTTTCACCAGAAAATGTCACGTGAATGCCCCACTAAAATACCAAGAGTACATTACAAAGAAAAGAGACGGAATGCAGCAGCCCAGATTACAAACACTCCAATTTGCTAGAAGCTACACCCTCAAGAAGATAACAGCTTCTACTTAGAATAATTCAATAATTTTGAACCACACAATAATTCAATAATTAGATGCCTTCTCATTACAGTTAGCAATTAAATATATACCATTACTACCAGTACTAATATTTTTTGTGATAGAAATCAAAAAGCTTCAAGAACATGGCCATCAATTTAACTGAGAGGCAACTCAGTTACATTTTATTTTGGCCGTCTCAAAAACAGGAATCGAGATATTTGACAGGCAAATTGGAAGAGTTAACATATACCAACATAACTCTATATGGCTGTTCTAATCACGACATTTATCAATACCCAGACCATTCACCCATATAGACTAAGTAGGCTACAAAATAACCAAAAGGGAGGGGTACCTCTATGATTGGGTAAAAGCGTGCAAGCTGCCATGTTTCTCCTTCACTTGGACGTTCTTTCCTAGCTCCATGTTTCTTCTGAAAATTGAATAGCCCCTTGTTAGATATTGATTGAACGATTGAAAGAACTCTCAAAGATTCTGTAAACATTCACCTTATGAATGTCAAACTTCAGAGAAAAAGCCCCAGTGCTTTTTTGGTTATCTGGTGCTCCCCCAAGCAGTCTCATATTATTCACAGCATTCATATCATTGGGTGATAATTTTGCTAACTGAAAACAAAAAAAGCACCACAGTAACCACTTGAATGAGATTAGACACACTGATTGACCTCAGCTGGTACCAACCTTCATCAAATTGAGACCCTTCTCGCCTTCAAATTTCTCAGGATAAATGGCTGCAAGAATCATCAACAATCGCAACTTATTTTCACCAGTTGTATCCTGCATAAAAATGGTATGTATGGTTTACAGAACATAATGACAATTTTTCTTGCACACTAATATATACTTATATAGTTTCTTACCTCTTTTGTCGTCAAAAAATTGATCACATCTTTCATGCCCGCATCTCCAAAAACAAGATCCTGCTCCAGCTGCCCAACTTCTCGAAGCCCAAGCTCCCGGATAATTCTGTTAACTTTTCCTGCAATCTGGAGAAATAAAATAATATTTGCCTACACTCATGATTTCCATGTCCAAAGCTGACAGCTCAAATTTTCTTTCAGTTATTCAATATGCTATCACTTCTGGTATGAATCTTACTCCATCCATTAAATTTTTAATTGTATTTGCTGTGAAAACAAGAAATTGAGTTACTTTATTGCTTCTCTTGGTTTGCTTAAAAATGAAGCCTCATCCAAAGACAAATCTTTTACAATGGGACAGTGGAAACATTAAGGTGGAAAAAGAGCAAAAAGAGGAAAATAAATATGAGATTTGGACGACATTTATTCAAGAGGCAAAAGGGTGGCCACATGAATATGTCTCCATGTATAAAAGTCGTTGACTTAACAGGTATTTTCTGTTTAAGAATTTTCGTAACTAATTGATTACAATGAACTACAGCAATGGTCACACTGTTTATGAGTTGTCTTCATAAATTCCTTTAACCAAAATTTTGAATTTTGACTTGTTGGAATTTAGCGCATCAAACAGATACTTCAAATGAACTAACCTCTACGTGAAGGGAGAGCTTGTCGATTTGTTCACTATATTGTGGCAATGCTTGAACCATCTTTTGTAAATCCCTCGTAGATAGTTCACGAGCATCTCTATATAACACATGAACATTTAGGTGAGAAATAGAACACAACACGAACTGGCATACCAAATAGACTTGCATAAGCTTCAAAAATTTAAACAAAAAAATGATGTTGATTAAGTTAATATCTATAGAAAAAAAACACAAGCACGAAAATAATAAATGTTTCCTAAAAGAGCAAGTCTCATATTCTTTTTCTTGGATACAGAAAGTAACATTATGAATAATTTTAGAGGATGTAAGTAATCCAAGATTTTTTAGCAGGGCCCAAATAACATTTTTATTACCCTTCATACAATAACCCCACCGCATGCAGCTCATTCAATCTTACAATAGTAACTTTATATGACGCATATATTGTTAGGAATTGGCTCGTCAAGGTTAAAGTCCTATTTTGTTTAGGATTGTATTAGGAAAGCTGAGGTGCACAGATTCTTATTCTATAAGGACTAGGAAAGAATTAAGTTAGAATTTAGATTAGGAATTCTAGATGCCTAATTGGAATAGGAAATAAAGTGTACCTTCCTATCCCATATAGAATATGAAAGCTAATCAGAAAATAGGCATGTAAACCACACCCTATACTTATAAATAGGGTGCGGCAAGGATGAAAAGCAGTGGATAAAACAGAACGCCGAGAGAAAAGAGGGGTTAGTTCTAGGGTTGCAAAAGCACTGTATACTCCATTAATAATCAAAGCAGCCATGGTTTCTCTACCTAGAAATCACAACTGGACTTAGGCAAAAGTTCCTTGTGTGTTTCAAGTTATTCTCTATTTGCTAAGTTTAGTCTACTGCCGGATACATCAAAGAACAAGATCCAGAGGGAAGTTCAGAATTATAACATATATGGGCTTCACTACATATAGTTTACGCATATTATGAGCTTTCTACTTAAAAAATCAAAATGCTCAGCACCAGAGTTTAGCTGTACTAAACCATGAGTCTGTTACAAAAAAAAGTCAAGTTGGCAGACCCTACGAGGAGAGATTCCTTGCATCAATGAACTACATATGATATGAGGCACACATATCTTCATCATGTAACAATGATTTGCACAAATCAAGGATGTATGGACATCAAATTTCTTGAGCTGGTCCTTGTTTTAACCAGAAGCACTCCTACCCAGTTATGAACAACAGAACAGGAAAATATTGTGAGCCACTACACAGTTAGGCTCTGTTTGTTTGACCAGAACGATGGAATGATTGAATCGGAAGAGAAGTTACACAGTTAGCCCTACTCCTGTATTTCTATCAGCCCATTGAACAGGGTGCATAAATTCCTTATGTTTCCCTTCAAACTAGTCAAAGTTTGTGTATTAATGGAAAAGCAAAACAAATTCCATTCATGATCTAAATTCCGGCAAAACAACAGGGTTAAACAGCTATTCATTACTCAAAAGAAAGTTAGAAAACAAGTACATAATTAGAATTTATTAAAAATACAAAAAGAATAGTTAACAAATAAATACACGCGAACCTTGAACCATGGATCTGTGCAGCCTTATTCCTTGACACGAAGTTGGTCATTTTATCATGCAGTCGTTCGCTAGCCTGACAAAGGTCATTGTGATGGAAAAAATTAATTAATTTATGCCTGTGTAACCCTGAAGAATACAAATAGACACAGGACATACATCTGCTATATGTGTGTGGCGAAGCTCAAGCCAGATTGGATCATGATCTTCTAAAAGAACCACTTTTTCCTCAGGTGGACCACCAGTTTTGCTTGGAACCTATAAGTATTGCCTTTATAAAGCATCCAAAAGAGACAAAAAAACAGAATTTGAAAGCACATCTATGTAAATGGACATTTCAACTTACCTCGTGCACATACTTATTTCCATCCATATTTAGCAAGTCATGACACATGGCGTCATATGTCCATTCATGTATGATAGGTGCAATCTGAAAATTCAGATGAGAATATTCATTATAATAATAAAGCCAATTCCACTACGCATAACCAACACATGCACCTAAAAACCTGATCTACAGATCTGTCAAGGATAAGCAACTCGCATGTTTCTGTCTCAGGGAAGTTCTTAATTGTAGTTTTATATTTCATGAGACAATCCCAGATCCCAGCCGCAAGCTTTGTAGGAATTAAATCACGAAAAGTGGTCATTGTGGTGGCATCAAGTGACTTTGCAGCTCGATAACGCACAAAAGGAAATTCCTAGAAAATAAAAAACAAATAGATGTTTCAGAAAACCTGTACTAAAACTTCAATCAAAATTTAACATCATCAAAACATGTACCCTTAACGAAGCAAAAACTGTGGCAACACGAGCAGCCATCACATTCAAACATGCAACACCTTTGCGTGAATCCTCATCATCCCCATAAAGTTCTTCTAAAGCCCTCTCGTTGTTGGTAACAAAAGCCTGTGCTAAGAAATTACAAAAGAGAAAAGCCATGAACAATTTTTTTTTCTAACAAATTGCTGTAAATTTTTACGAAGGTTGAAGCTTAATATCACATGAACCCCGAATTTAAATATAAAATAAAATAAAATTTTTTTTGAAAAGGATATAATATAAAATGATGACTACAAATAAACCAAAACTTTGACTGCAATAGCACCACATACCTGACTGTCTATTGCACAATATTCCAAATTCATCTGCAAATTTGCCAAATCAGCATCTACTTACTTTTAACCAACAACAAAGAAGACAACTGACTGATACATAAAGTTCTGCAAACTTATCAATCTAGGATACGTTTGAAAAAGAGCTATAACCTCAATCAATTTAGCTATCCGAGTTAACACAGTTCCATCCTTCTTGATTTGACTAACTAATTCTCTTGAAATAGGTGAACTGAAGAAAACAAATGCCCTGTAAAGACAAAAAAAGAACCATTAGAACCTTCAAACCTAAATATGATAAAAATCACACAATCAACTAGAACAAGGCGCCACTTAGTACTTCGGTCTAGTGGTAATCGTCTTCACTTGTAAGTGAGAGATCTTAGGTTCAATTCTCGCCAAAGGCAAATTTGAATCACATTATTGCTAGGCCATTGTGAGGCTTAAGCCCACCCCCTCCCCCTTAGTGTAGATAATATCGTTTGTTCAAAAACAAAAAATAAAAAAGAACTAGAACAAGGCAAGTGATATTTATGCACATACTTCCTGTACAATGGTGACCTTCCCGACATGTCTGACAAGAACATGATAACACTGCAAATTAACGCCAGAGAGAGAAAGTTAGAGCGGCCGCCATCTATATGGCTGACGTACCAACAGGGAATACGTAATTATTCAAACAATCACTTCGCCATTATATTAAGTAGAAAAAAAAAATTTATTTCACATTTTACTCGTGAGAAATGCTTGATTTCAGTGAGATGAGAAAGAAACAAGGAAAATTTTAGTTAAATATTCCTCCTCCCCCCCCCACCCACACAAACAGGGAAACAGATGGAGTAAGAACAGAGGATAGCTGGATAACCCTAAAGTTAATAATATAGATAACAATTCAATCAAACTTTGAGTCTCAAACTTGTGACTTGTCAAGTTTTGTTCGGGTCACCATTCCCGAACCCTTAAGTTGTAAAATGTGTTACAATAATTGTTCTACATTCCAGCCTTCAAGAGCCCAAAACATATATAAATTGGTAGAGTTGTAGGATCTCACTCTAATGTCATGGTACATTTGTTAGTTACCAATGTTCCCAAAAGCTAAGTGTTTGGATGTTCTCTGGAAATAGTTTCATATTCTAACAAGATTCATTAAGAAACCATACTACTAATATGCTACAAAAATAAAAACATTATAGTTCTCTCTCCCTCTCTCTCCAACAAAAATTTAAAAAGAATTACTTCTCTTTGGTAGGCTGCATGAAGTATATAGCATCCCTGGAGGGCATTGGCTGCCTTCGCTTAACTATGTCTTCAACCACTGCAAGAAAATATGAATTGTAGTAACAAATGAAAAACAAAGCCCATCTACCAATACAACATGTTAAATGACTGGCTTCAGAAAATAAGCGGGAGACAAAAAACTGGGCAACCAGTTATCAGCTTAAAATGGCAACAACATATTATTCACAATTCTATAAACACATGATATGTAAAGTTTAAATACATGTTCATTGACCACACCACACACCAAGAACAAAATTGCATCAATTTCATGTCCTCGACACTACACAACAGATATAACTTAGTAACTTGTCAAATAAAAAATAATCAAATACCATGCAGTGACCAGTCAGCAGCTTCCAATTAGGGCTTCTACAGTAGCACTGACAATTTTATAGTGTGGAATACTGTACCAGACATTTAGTAAATGCTACCAGATTGGGAGGTGCAATGCCTTTTGATATATAGCCAAAGAAATGCAGCACCTTGTTATATGGTTAGGTAAATGTGACTGACAAATAACTACTAACAATTATCGAATACCATGACGATGCAGCATCCTCTTGTGCAGCTGGCAACAAAATAGATTGGCCAGAAAGCAGATACCAAGACAATGCCCAAAAATAAAAAGTATAATTTCTCAGGGAGAGTCCTTTTGATTCTTACCTGAAACACCTTCATCTGTCGTGTCAGACGTTTTGCACACGTGAGATATTATTTTAAGAGTAAGTTTGTCCACGATAAGTACCTACAGGGATAGCAATCAAATAAAAATTGCAAGTACACAAGGAAGAATATCATCACATTGAAAATTATCATGAGTTTATAAGAGACAATGGGTTCACCAAATAAAAAGAGAGATAATATTCCTTTACCCTAGAGATACACCTGTTATATTTCCCAACTATTAGAGAGTACATTCAGTACTTGATCAAATCATTCACTTACAAGCTCCATTCCACAGTACATAATGATAAAAATAGTGTACTTTATCAATTATAGACGAGAAAAATCCCAACAAGTACTAGACACTTGATAAGCACATACAACACGTGTTTCCTGTTGAGGTTCAAAAACTTTCCAAGTTCATAATTATGTCTATGACTACGAGTGTTACAAAACGAATACTTTCCTAATAGATGTAGCCCATTCCTAGATCCTATAATCCCTGGAACACATGTAAGCACTTCTTATTATCCGAACATAAACTTATAATCACAAAAAATTACGTATATAAAATTTGTGCCACAAGTGACATCATAATACCAGTTGCATTTACCTTCCAGGTTGCTGTTGAGTCCCCCGTTTTGCAAGACCGAAGCATTTCAATTAACAATCCTAAACACAAAATTTCGAAAAATCAGTCACAAAATGGCAATGCAACAACAAATCACCATCAATTATAAACAACAGTAACAGAGTGATCTTGGTCCATATCTAGAACAAGCTGGTCAACCCCGCCCAAAAAATAAACATTTTGAACTGCTATATCTCCACCGTTACAAAAACCAGCCTAGCTGCTGCACATTGCACCGCAGAGGATCAGTGCTCCTCCCACATTGCACGCATAATTTGGTTTTTCCCGGCCTACCGAAATCCCAATAACGTAGCTACCTCATTCTCACCGTACAGTTCATCCATCTGAGTATTTGCGATTACTAATTGTAGTCACAGATGTTGAGAATCAATCCTACATTAAAGGGAGGAGGGACTTTGTATGGGCTTATGAATAAGTTGGGTTACTCCTCATATTGCTAATTGGTTTTATGGTGAAAGCTCAACTTTCCCCATATTACTAATTGGTTTTATGGTAGACGCTCAACTTTCATCATGGTATTAGAGCAAATTGCCCCACATGTGAAGCTCAACGGCCACACGCGCTTCATATCACCCCGTTTGTGTTGTCTTAAAAATTCACGTCACGTAAGGGGGGGCGTGTTGAGAATAAATCCTACGAGGGGGACCTTGCATGAGCTTATAGTTAAGTTGGCTACTCCTCATATTGGCAATTGATTTTTCGATGGAACCTCACGGATTATTACTAACTCCAAAAAATCATTGAAGTTGTAGCTTCTACTGCCAATTACTTAATCACTAAAATTGTTCAGTAACCAATAAGTTTCTGAACCAATTACACTACGAATTCATCAGCTTAGAGCTTGATTAAGATGCTAGTATTAATTAAACTAATAATCAGAGAAATTGAAGTGGAATTGAAACGAAAGCGAGTGAGGAGAGAGGGAGGGAACTCACGGTCGCGGGTGATTTGCTTGAAATTCTTGTAGTCGCCGCCGTAGGACGACGAGGAGTCGGTGTCAGAGAACGACATGGTCCGCGCTTTTTCTCCTTCCCTTCCTTTCCAGGCCGATCGATTCGCTGGCAGAAAGAGTCGGAGACGGGAAGGAGAGAGATATCGCGAAGTGGCGGAGGTGGGAGGAGAGAGAAAGGGGAAATGTTTTTCTTTGGTTTCTTCAAGTGGAAGTTAGACGGGGAGGGGAATGGGATTTTGATTTTTAGGGGCGGCGATGACGTGTTGGCCGAATGGAGGGGAGAGGGAGAGAGAGAGAGAGAGAGAGAGGAACAGAAGCAGGAGAGAGAATGAGAAACGAAAAGACTTGATCTCTTCTTCACAGTTTATTTTCTTTCTAGACTGATTTGTTTTTTCAGAGGAAAACGGAAAATTCTATGTTTCTGTTTTACCCGGAACTTGTTGTATTTTTATTTTTTTAACAAACTATATTTATTTATAACAAAAGGTGGAGAATTGATTAAGTTTTATAATCAATTAACAATAATGTAGTTTAAAATCATCTTTGGCGAAAATAAAACCTAAGACATTTAGGTATAAATGAAGATAAATACAACTAAATCGTAGTACTATGTGGGAGTAATCTCGGTGCAACTTTTCAAATAATTAGTTCAATTTTCTTTGAGCTGTTTTTTTTATATTTCAATTTTACTCAACTGGTGATTTTTTTAATATAATTGAATGAATAAATGGATGAAGTTGGTATTCTGAATGAATGAATGTAAGGTTGGGCTTTTAAAAAAAATAAAAAATAAAAATAAAACAGACTGAATCGTCCGAACCACACCCACGGTTTGGTTTGGTTTATTTTTTTTTTTTTTTAATTTTAAATGGTTAAACTGAACCAACTCGCATATATTTTTATTTTATTTTTTTAATCATAATTAATACGTGTAGTAATATAAATGGTTAGTTATTTATGAGTTACCTGGTTTTTACTACATGAAAACAAAACCTTATTAGTTTAAGAGTCCCTTTGTGCTTTCCTTTTAACAAACACTCATATTGGTGCTACGTTCTGTAGCTTTTGGCAGAGAAAGTTGTTATGTAATTTTGTCTTTATACAAACCGAGAACCGAACCAAACCAAACCAATTCGTCACTGTCGGTTAACCGACCTAATCGATTTCAACCCCAACTTGATCGGTTTCGGTTTGTCATTTTGGCCCAACCGATTAAATTAATTTGGTTTCAATTTTGGCTCAAAACCAACCCAAACCACCCACGCCGACCACTAAATGAATGAATGAATTTGGTATTCTGAACCCTGCAAATACGGACCAGTCTGCAGTTCTTACAAAATGACTTGTCATTTGTCACCTGTTGCTTTCTTCTTGAACCAGTTCTTTCCAATTATTGAACAAATGAAAGACTAGGGAGGGGCAATAAATTGAAACTTTTACGTGTTTGGAATACAATTAGGTATAATAAGTGTCATAATACAAGTGAATAGACACTTTGAAAAGAAAAAAACTTCTCTCCATTTGTATTTTAACACTTAATGTACGGGTCGTACATTGAAAATTTCTTTAATAAATAAAAATAACTTGAAATGTGAGCCCATGATTGGGGGAGAAACTTCCATAGAATCCTCATCTCAATCAAGCAGACACGCCTGGTGTTGACTTTTTAGGTGAGGAAATGGACCTCTCTATATTTGTAGCATTTGCCTTCCCCACTAAGTAACAAAATTTGATATTAATAGTGCAAAGCACTAAGCAATGTCTTCAGTTGAGAGATCAGGTGCAAATGTTCAAATCAAGGGATAGCTATTGCAATACGGAAAGGGCAAAAGTGTCTTGTCACAATAGCGATTAACTTGATAATTTGACAGGTTTTAAAAGGATCGAGTTCTTTTTTACTACTATAATCTGGTGGTATTATTCTTTATTTATAAATGAGAGGTCTTAGGTTCGAATCTAATAGATGGCGAATTTGATACCAAATTAGGTTGTTCATTGTATGACTTACCATACTCCCCCCACTCCTAATATAAAATATGCCGTCATACTAAAAAAGAGTATGCGGATGGCTGCCACAAAACCAACGATAAACCTCAAAAATCAACAAGCTATTTCTATCATGAGCGTCCATTCCATAAAAAAGAATCACTAACGTCCATGCTTTCACCACGCAAGAGTTCGGGGGTGTATTCAATTAGGATTTTGAGAGACTTTTATAGATTTATGAATCCATAAATTTTTATAGAGTTTAATTAATTTGTAGAGATTCCATGTAAAATTTTAATTCAATTCCCTCGAAACCTTAGGGTGAGATGAGATTTGTGATTGCTTAAACTACACTATGAAATCTCTCAAATTTCGTTGAATTCCTTATCCTTTTTAAAATCTTTAAGATCAATTCTAAAATTGAATACATTTGAAATGTTATAAACTTCTTTAAATCTTCATTGAATACACTCAAGTTTCTAAGGATTATAATAAACTATCATAACGAATTGAATACACTCTGAATTTTAAAGAATCACTTAAAATCCTAATTGAATATTCGTATATTTATGAAAAGAATTATCCTTTAAAATTCAAATTAAATACAACCCCCGATTCTCATTTCTCTTGCGGATGAGAGAGGATCCTCGCCAAATCCTCTTTGTGAGGATCTCAGAGATCCTCCAATTACATCTGTTTATCGTACATCGTGCATTCAGCTTTCATCAGGTACTGTTTATATTCAATTTTAAATAAAAAAAATTACAATAAGTTATGATCGCATGGTATATGATGAACGAATCTGATTTGAGGATTACCGGAATCCTCACAAAGCGAATCCGGCAAGGATCCTCATTCCTGGATAATCTGACGTGAGCTCCACGTCCATCCACCAATTTAAAACATTTCAAATCACCATAAAAGAAACTAGCAAAACAAAACAAAACAAAAAAAAAAAAAAAAATCACCATAATAAGAAAGGATCCAAATTTAAAAAATTTCGAACAAGTTAAAATTGAATCGCACCAAACTCTACTCTCTCTCTCTCTCTCCAATTCAAACATTTCAACGTCACTGGAAATGTCCTTGTATGTTATAACAGGACAACATTGTGGCAGTGAACGAAAACAAAAGTGGTTGATCCATAATAAGGAGGATACCAATGATGTTTTATTCGATCTTTACATACGACCCATTTTCAATATGATACTGCTTAAGGCCTTGATGTGAAATAACAACAATAGTCTTCAAATTTTCTTATTTTTAAGGCTGCAAAGTAATCCAAATTATTATGCCCCCTGAGCATAATTACTTCTCGACTTTTAACTCAAATAACTCAACCGAAAAGAATTTTTCCACATTAGCTTTAACGACCCTCACATTCAACGGTGTAGAACACCATTCATCCAACAACCTCGATTTTACGGACCGATGGTGTAATATTGGGTACAAACCGCAACATTCGAACTTTCTTGTCAGCAAATGTCGTTTATAAAGTTATACACACATAAATGGTTCCTGTAAATATACACATGAATTGTTCCTATTTAACGTAGCCACTTCTGGCATTTACCAATTGGCGTTATATTCACAATTTCACATAAAACCAATCGGCCGAACTGAGAAATGAAACGATGAGGTAAAGCCGAAGAATTCCAAAATTGTTATATACATCTACAGCCTGTAAAGAGCAGGTGTTGTATGGCCTCAGAGGGACAACTGCACGGTGGGGCAAAAACACCATATGAAATCATGTGCCTTTCTACTCGATTCTTGCTTGTTGGTGATCAACCTTCCCTTAATAATCATTAGCTGGTAAAATCTTAGTGGCATCATGTCACAACTCTAGAAAACTATTCTTTTTCTCTTTTAATATCACCAACCACGGATGCCGACGGCAAAGATAGTGATTAGATTGAAGTCGCAACGAGGTAACCGTATCGGAAGGAGCGGCTGAATTGCCTCTTTTTCACGGTTGGGTATTTGGTTTCGCATTGCTTCACGCTCAAAACATAAGCCAGCTACGTTTGAATTAAATATGGAGATGGAAGCATGATCTCTTTTCTTACGTCCCCATGTTCCTTCCATGTGGTTGGGGTGTAATAAAGGAAGGAAAGGATTGGAGTTTCTCTCGCTTTTGAGATAATGAGTTTCGTTGTAGATAGGAGAATTCTAACGCAGATGCTTAAAAAAAGCACATATACTCTAACCAATGCGAGATGAAGATAACTTGCAAGAAAACAAAGATAGACAAATCATAAAAAGTTAAAGAAAGGTTTTAAGCCCAAGATTAGCCAACCAAATGAAAATTTTCTCTTCCCCTAAAGCCCCAAGTGCGTCCTCAGTGTCCTCACCCAATAAAATAGGAAAAGAAGAAAGAAAAAGCAAACATCAAACATCTCTCTCAACTCTAAAATCCAAAAATGAAGTTGCAGGCATGCTTCAACACTCTGTGGCTTTGACGATAAAGCGTGAGCGAAATTATGCACCAATGAACAAAACAAACACCATTTCAATCTAGCCGTTTAAATACCGGTGCGAGCTGTACGCATTATGAGAACACTAAAAAATCTTTGGTGTTTCACCTATACGTATATATTGAGTAGTGGCTTTCAGCTTCAACCAGAGGGTACTGTGCTTGCAATGCACGGAAAAGGCGAGCTTGTATTATTATTTCATGAGACAAATTGATACATGAACACACCTCAACTGATTCGCAGAAGATCCAAAAATAATTCACAGGATAAAGCATCCGGTCTTTAATATCCTAAGTACCAACAGGGCTGTAACAAACAATGAATAAAACAAAATCGACAAACTTAATCATTATTTTATCTTGTGACACTTGTAAGTTTTTGAAACAAGTTTTTAGTAAACACATGTGCAGGTGAGACCCAACTCTATTAAAATAAGAAAAACTAATGAAAATGACTTGAAAATTTTAAGTTTTAATAAAAAAGACAAAAATATATTGTAAACGAACAATATCAGGAGTGGCTTTGTAGAGTAAAATTGTTCTTTTTCGTTAAGATGAACAATACGGAAAGTGTTTCGTTAAAGTTTTCTTAAAAAAATAATACAAATAATGGTACAAGTGGTAAGTGCCGCATTACTCGTATTTCCAAAATGTAATTCAAACCTAGCAAGTGAACATTTGGTCTAATTAAACCAAAATTGTGAAGAATTAAAGAAAACATAACAAACAAAATGGCCACTTTATACCTTCATTTGACCCCAAAGTGTCAAAATTAACATATCCCATGCAAACACCAAATTACACAACACAACAAGTACAAAAGCATTAACACATAATTAGATCATAAA